AAAGTAAAAGACTATTTTGAGTTAGCGTAGATAGGACAAGTTTTAGTGTCTGATCATTTTACACTTTTCTAGTTGTCTGAACGTTTTAGTATTAGAGCTCTGAAGGCAAAGGCAAATTCTAGTATCAGAACCAAATAGCCAAATAAGGATGCCTTTTAAGTAAAGTATCAGAGCACTGAACAAAGTATCAGAGCAAAATATAAATTTTAGTATCAGAGTTAATTAAGGATCTGTATCAGAGTTAAAGTGAATCTTTATCAAAGCTAAAGTAAGTACTCAGAGAAGTCAAAAAGGTAGTTGTATAAAATATTCGAAGCATAAAAATTTTCTAAGTACACAGATCTATTTTTCCTTATTGTTCTTGTCCTTCCTCTTGTCTTGGTCAGATTTCTTTTCTTTATCTTTCTCTCCCATTTTATTTAAGACAGAAGGAGAAGAAGATGGACCAGGAAGTTTGGGTGCGAGCTGAGAGGTAGTTTGCTAGATACCTGCCAAGCTTTGTTGCATCTCAGTAGTTAAGGCAGTCCAGTCCCTCTGACCTATGTTGGAGAAGGGCCTGCTCAGCTGCATCTCTGGAGCTATTGTCTTCAGACCTTTAGCACACCAGGTGGAAGTTTGGAGTAGCTGCGTGCTAAACTGATGCAGAACTTTGAGCATTTGGTTTGACTGATTTTTCTGATCAGTTTTAACCTTCTGAACTCTGATGTTATACATAGTTAGGTCCTTTTGCACTTGGCTGACAGCGTTCTGAAGTTTGGCAACTTGCTGATTGCCTGATTGAATAAGTTGACAAACATCTTGATGGAGTTCATTATTTTGAACTGCCAACTTATCAATATCAGCCTGAACTTCACTTCTCACCAAAGTGGCCATCTAAATGGCTGTTGACAAGGTTCTGATGATGGATTAGAGCTCAGCTTGCTTGGTAAGCATATCCAGTTGAATGGCTCCTACTCTTTCAACTAGAGTTAAGGATGAGAAGGTTGCTTGCATAGCTGCTGCACTATGGATCATTGATTTGAGAGTGGAAAACTCTTTTATGATGGTCTGAATCTGATCCATAGTGTAGATGGGTGTAGGGTCAGGAAGTGGATTTAGAGGGGGGATTTCCTCAGGTGGAGGAATGGATGGTTGAGGAATGGAAGAGGAAGGCTTGGCTGCTTCCATTCTCTGAAATAGTTTATCAGCAAGCCGGTTTAACATCTCATCTGAGAAGAAGTTTTCATATGAGGGTGGAGGTGGTGATGGAGAAGGTATTAAACCTATGAGGGTTTGTTTTTGGCGGTTTACTGGAGGTGGTGGAGGAGGAGTTTCTAAAGACTCATTAACATCCTCAACCGTTATTAGATCATGAGGAGTAATGATCAAGGCTTGCTGAGGTTGCTCAGATGATGTTAGAAGAACATCAACCTGAGGGGTTATGGGGTTAGATGGAGGAGTAGAGAAAGGAATTAAAAGCAGAGAGGGAGAGGGATCAGTTACCTTTATTAGCTCAGTTGTCTCTGGAGCTTTTTCAGACGGTTCCTTCTCAGTCTCTTCAGGCTGCTTCTCAGCCACTTCAGTTTCATTTTCAGCTGACTTAGCAGCATCTCCTTCATCAACATTTGCCTTTTGAGGCAGACCAGCTTCTTCTGTATGTGGAACCATTTCAGGTTCGTTAGCAACATTTTCTGACTCCTTCTCAGTCACTTCTTCTTCATGCTCATTTAGAGCAACTTCAAGTTCTTGAAGAACCTCTTCTTCTTCAGCATGCTCTGCAGTGTACTGAGCAGCTATCTGAAGTACTTCTCTGTTCCTTCTTTCTTCAGATGCTTCCTGCATCTCTTCATCAGCAGTCTGATTGACTGTTGATGATGAACCTCCTGCTTCAATAACTCTTAGAATTGGAAAAGGTTGAACCAAGTCTGCTGCCCTGATTCTTTTCCTTCTGCTCAGAGATATTTATCCTTCATCATCCTCTTCTGGCACTTCCAAAATCCTCTCGTCTGAACTAGAGTTAGACTCAGATTCTACAATTGTCAGCTTCCTCTTGCCCAAATCACTTCGGGGCTTCCTTGTTATTCCTTTTGAGACTTTTAAGTTCTGCTTCAGAGCAGACTTCAGCTTCTTTGATCCTTCTTAGGCAAGGAACAGTTTGTCCTTTTAAGAAAGGCCCACTTCTTTTTCAGCTTGCTCAGAGCCTGCTTCCCTGATGACTATTCCAGGCAGTGTTGAGGTAGTGGTCTTAGCTCGAGTTGCTTTTTCATCCTGATCGCG